ATTTTTATAGAGCGCATACATTTTTTTTTAATCTTGAATATTACGAATCATGTACTTGTGTCCTTTTTCAGTGTCTAATTTTTTTAGTCTAATTTTTAACGTCTATCTCAAACCTAAAAGCTTGAGACAAATGCCCTATTTGCACTAAAAACATATTAATCTATTTCAAGACCAAAAAAAAAATTATTTTCGAACAAAATTGGAACACAATTAGGACTTAGATACTTCTTTATTTTAGAACTTGCCTTCAATCTTTGATCGAATTTTAATGGAACATGTGAAATTAAATTTTTAATTAAAAATAAATAAAATACGCGTTCTGTCTTCGTTCAATTTCTCACATTATACATCAAAATAAAAAAATATTATCATAAATATATTTTATATGTACAAATATGGCAAACGTGTACTAATAAAATAGCTCAAAATAAAATTACATAATCAAACGAACTTACATGTTCGATCATAATTATGCGAATGCTTCGTCCGAGTAAAAATGTAGTCATGTCTCGTTCTACTCGAACGAAGTAGAGCATAATTATATTATAAAATAAAATTAGATAATAACGAAATAGGTATTCCAAAATAAATAATCTAAAATAGATAGAATCTACAACTTGCTTTTAATTGCAAAATCTTTGTGTATGTGGGTGTGCATTATTGATGATTATTAGAAGTTATTATACTTCACAAAATCCTAAAATATAAACTTTATAAAGATATTTCAAATAAAAATTATATTTCCGAAATATTTTGTGGTCAATATAGTTTTGTTATAAATAGAGTATATCAAAGAGTGTAACATAGAGTTCAACCTAAATTTTTTTTCTATATTGGAATACATATTTTTTTTTACTCAATTTTCTTAATATTTTCTTCATGTAAAATTATTTTAATAATTAAAGTTATTAAAAAGTAAACAGTTCACAAAATATTTCATATTTTACCATAATATGTATAATTTTTTGATGTGTAAATAAGATATGAAATAATTTGTATAAAATATAAAGCACTTCATATTCGATCTTATTTTACATTCGTATAATAGAAAAATAATTAATTAATGTAAAAGAATATATAGCTATGGAAAAGTGAAACTATATGTTGCATATTATACATTTATGCATCATGTTATATGCACAGAAAATCAAGTATGATTATATACATTTTTTCAAAAGTAATTTAATCTTAATTTAAATCTTGACTTAACACATAATTATTAAAAATATTATAAAAAATAATATTTCATATACATTATTATTATTATATTTCTTCATAGACTAACTATAATAAAAAAAATCGTGACGACTTCAAAATATCAATGGAGAAGAAATTAAGAATAAATTAAAGTCTCCGTTTGAAAATAATTTATTTATTATTTATTAAAATCTCAAGGCACTACCTTCATCACTTTTAACCTATTATTTTAATCGAGAATAAAATAATCATTAATTTATGTAACAAATTATCCTATCTAAAAAAAGAATGTGTGTATATTAAAAGTGCTGTATGTCGCTTTGTAGAACATATAAAACTCATATCTCTTTTTCAATTAAAATCATATACTCTTGGTATCTCGCAACGCAGAAATCAACAAACATTAACTTTTTCTTTTTTTACATGCACCGTTGAAATCTTACGAGAGATATCGCCTACATCATTTTGTGCCACCGTTAAATATATTTCAAATATAATTCAAATATATTTCGAATATATTTTTTAAATTTCAACTTGACATTTTTTCCTAATAAAGTTTTCAAATACATTCGATATATATCTATATCCAAATTATATTTGAAATATATTTTTCTCTATACAATTATGTAAATATATCTATCGCTGTAAATAAAATATATCTTCGAGATATCTTATCTCATATTTTCAAGATATTATATATTCAAGAATCGAAATTACTGCAATCTGGTTTCGAACCGCGCATAAATTGCGATTAAAATACCGCTAAAAGCCATATGGCGATAAATTTTTAAGATCAATTTGTTTATAACGCTCAATACCTGATAAAATATATTTCGTGTTATCTAATATTTTTATCGATACATGAGATATATGTGTGTCACTGCATTGCAAACTTGGAAAAACTCTTTATAAAATAAAATAAAGAAAAATCAAAATACATCATCAATATTTCTCGATATTCCAGATGTGAATTTTGACTTCATTTAAAACGTTAGAATATATTTTCCGATAAATTTGAATAAATTATATTCCGATTTATATTTCAATTTATACCGTAATAAATTACATATGCATGTAATTGTAACAATAAATTGAATAATATTCGGAATATTTTCATAATTATTAGATTTATAACATTGTTTTTACATAGTCTTTTGCTTATTTTAGTCGAGGCCTTTTAATCATTAATATATTTAATTTCTTTTTTTTTTTTTTTCAGGATTTGCTTTGCGAATCTATACTGCATTATATAGTTAAGCAAAGTTGCAATTTGCACAATACTACTTTTAAATAACATGTACGTAATTTTATCGATTTTATGGCAAAAAAGAAAAAAAAAGAAGAAATAGACACACATTTTAGAGCAAAAGAAGAAAAAAAAATTTTAAATCAGACTACATAACGTGTGATAAATAAAATATATAAGATTTTTCATTATGTTTAAATTTCTTTATATTTTTGAGTTCTTATCAATATATGTATATTTTTTATCGATTCCTCTAATTGTATTCACTTTTTAATTTCAGTTAAAATCAACGGGTCGAATATATTTGATTGTTGCAATCTCTTTGTGTAAATCATGAATATAAGAAAATGACTGAACTTGCTATAAAATGTTAAAAAAAAAAGAAATATAGAGAAAAACACATCATATCAAATCAATATTGAGTATACTACCTTATTGACACAATTTTAGATGTACAAATTTTAACGTATACTAGATTCAATAAAAATGTAATTTCAAATGTTTTATGAATAATCATAATAAATATCTAATGAAATGCGTAAAAATGTTTCAAAATTAGAAGGCAATAATGATGCCTTACATATTTCAAAGTAGATTTAATATATTTTAATATTTCTAAGATAACTCAACATTTTAGATGATTTTTATGTCAAATCAAACAGAAAAAAAGTATTTTTTATTTTTTTGTAAAATTTTTTATTCTTATATATAATATTAAAATATGCATTTTTATCAAGTGTCAATGCTATAATCATAATGTTTTTCAAGATGTAAAAGTTTTACACAAATTTCGAATATCTTTAAAACGCTGTAACTTCTAAATGGTATAATTTTAACCTCTTTAAAAATTTTTTTTAAATATTTAAATATATATTTTTCAACATTATTTAAAAATTTGTTTATTCACCCGTAAAGTGTGATAAATCCGCCTTAAAATGATTTGTTGTCAAGTTCTGTATTTCAAACTATTTTTAATTTAGAGTATTCTAAAGGTATCATGACTTCAAAATTTGCATAAATTAAAAAATTCCATATCTCAAAAAATATTATGATTACAGCGTTAAAACTTGACACAAATACATATCTTAATATTATGTATAAGAATAAAAAATTTCAAAAAGAGCAAAAACACGCATTTTTCGATTCGATTTGATGTGAAGTATTATCCTTATATAAAAAATATTCGTATATATAATATAAATTTCTTATTGTTTTTCATAGTTAAAAATCTTTACATTTTCAATTAACATAACATTTTCGTATATTTACAATATTATGCTATTTAATATTTTTTTATCGTTTTTATATTTGTCATCTACATTTTTTGTATAAAATGACAGATAAGCTGGTCCAGTTATTTCTTACATTTATGATATAAGTGAGTAAACCTTTATCTGAAAAATGAGTCTCACATAAATGCAATATATACAAGGTATCCCAATTAAAACGATGATTATACCCTGTAATTATATATAATACTAAAACACGTAAAAAAAATTTTAATTTGCGTTTATAATGAATAAAGAGAAATGCTATATCAAAAACGCTAATATCTTGTTGTTCTTCTAAAAAAAATTGCTGAAATTTTCTCATCTTAGGAGATAATGATAAATAGTCTTACAAAGTGTACAATAAAATGTGTGTCAAATATAATTATAAACTATCTTGAATGAATAAAATTCTTAAAATAAATCATCAATGTTCTAATCGATGATTTAAGGAGAATTCTGCATATAATTCTACAGTGAATGGTTCACTTGGAAGGGTACATTTACGTCACGCTTTATCACAAGATAGTTAGATGTGTTCTATTCGGAGCACATTCAGGATGTGTATATATTATTGTTAGATATTCATTACGCGATATTATGTTTTTATGCCACATATAAACTGATACACTTTCCACTCTATTTAATTTCAATATTTTTCTTGATACGTTCTTTCATAATCTGTATAAAAAAGTAACAATGAGCCATTTTATTTCATTTAAGAGATTATAAAATAATTGTGAGTACAGAGACTAAAAAAAGTCTTATTAATACTTCATTTTAATATTTTATTTCAAATTTGACCAATTTTAATTTTAATTTTACCAGACTTTCATTTTAATTTTTATAATATTAAGTTTTCTAGTTTTCTATTTTATGATACTAAAAGATAGAAATTAATCGATAATACGATTGAGATATGAATTGTTTACAGATTATCATTCTAAAAGAATATATTTAGAGTCTTCGCTCATTCTAGAAATACATCTACCTATTCAGTGACGTCGTACTTAAAAATCATCGATAAATGAATGAGAGCACGGTAAAATATATCTGTTCTCTTTAGCTACGATACT